CCCACAGTAAAACCCAGGGAGAGCAGCCCTGCAGAGTGTCCCCTGGCACAAGTGGGATCTGAGGACCCAAAGCAAACTCCCTCTCCAGCAGCCGCAGCCAGCGCCACTCTTCCCACTAATTAATGGCTTCCTTCCACCTGCACGGCTGACACAGCTCTCACCTCACCGCGCAGGAGCTCGGCAGAGGGACGGCGGATGGAGAGCACAGAAGGAAGCGCCTCCCACGTCTGCAATGCTGGGGTCGGAGGGCAATGGCTCTTGGAGGGCAGCAGCCACCACTGACACTTCCAAAACTACTAGAGAGAATGAAAAGCTGAGGACCGGGAATCTGGGCGTTGCATTTTTCAGGAGTGCTGAATAAACATGGGAAAGTGTATTTAAAGAAATTACCCAGCTTAAATAAACAACTGGGAAAACATGTCGGGTAATTGGATTTTCATAATCACCAGCTATGGCTTAATTTTAGGGTCAGGGAAGACCTGGAAATGACCTTGCTAATGATTAATAGGCTTTAGTAACCTGGTGGGCCCTCTGAGGTGGACAGGTGGAGCTTCCTTTTGAGAGTTTTCAAACAAACATTGCATTAATCTTTTTTTTTTTTTTTTTTTTTTAATCATGGTCTGTAATATAATATGATTCTCTAAATGTGTTATTTAAAATACTCCAGTGGATTCTCATCAGTGGACTTGTTCCTGTTACCCGATTGAAAAGAGGGCTGTGAGTATGTAGTAAGACCCCCTCTGGGATACTAGACAATACACAGACACAAGTGGTTTCCTGGTTGCACTTATTCACATACCCAGTGATGAGGTGACAGTCCCAGCTGGTGAAGCTTCGGAAGAGTTATTCTCATGCTGATTTTAATGTAATGTTGTCGCAAATGTTTACAATTCCCCAGATTCCTCACATAATGCTCTTCACCATCAAGACACAACCTCGAGGGGATGCTGGAGACAGTATATCATAACACAATCTTCTCTAATTTAGCCTAGACTATTAACATGGGCAATATAAAGAATATAAAGTTATTTAGAAGGTAAAAAGGGTTGTAAATATTCATAAATAAGGGAAAATCCATTTGTACAGCTCCTTCACTCTAATTTGAAATTGAAAGATACCTGTATATAGTCAGGAAATATATATATGTGTGTGTGTATATATATATATATATATGTATATATGTATACACATCTACCTGTTTGAGGGATCCAAGAAAAATTAGTTGTCTGTCTAGCAGTATCACTGATCGCATTGGTCAGATTGTGATAGTGGAGACAAGGGCTAGTTACCAAAAAAGTCAGTAGGCTTTGGATTAGGTGCAATCTCCTTGTTGCTTTGTGGCCAGCCTTGTGCAGTCCCTTCAGTAAGGTGGGAAAAGGTGGGCTCACTACCTGACCTCTTTCCAGTAGTACAAGAGAAGAGAATTCTTCTGTTCTACTCTTTCCTACAGAAAGTGAAGAATTTAACTGTTAGAGGAACATAGAGAATCCAAGGAGTCGAGAGTAGGACCTGAGACTATAAGCATCTTCAATTAGGACATACAAGAGCATAATGGGTTCAGGCCCTCCCTCATCTTTCAAGACAAGGCAAAATGTCCTGTTCTCAGCCTATTCATCAGCACAGTCTTGAATACAGTAAAGAGGTCTATGAGGCTAATGTTCATCTTGGCAATAGTCAGTATTGCTAATATAAATGTTATTAAAATCTTTTTATTAAGTGAAGCATACTTCTTAAAAAGTGTTCCTTGAGATGCCCAATTTTATGGAAGAATTACCTTTAGAACTATTATCTATTGTATACCCTCTTATAGACTTTCTAAAAAGACCACTATCCTTTAGGTAATTATTTTCTGCCCTATGTTCAGTTTTTACTCAATGTGTAGCTTTTAACATGTTAAATATGCAGCTAAAAACTATTTCGTCGTTCCAGAGTAAGTTATTTGATTCTCAACACCGGTATTCATCAATAATCCCCATAAATGGTAAAAGCTGAAAACTCAAAGTTATAATTAGATCAGGTATCTTTTTTGTTGTTGTTAAAAAGGAAGTTGCTTTTTTGCCAAGACTGTCAGTTATAACAATGTAAAAGCCAAAGAAAATATTAACATTTTCACTGTACTTTGTTACTGAACAATGCGAATACTTTTCCTCTATATTAGGAAATCTCAGTAGGCTCTTCCAGAAGTATGTCTGGGTCTAAATTGCTACCCATTTCTCAACCAAAGGTAGCCTAAACAGTTTTGGAGAGGTTCATTGCACATCTCTTCTGTGGATTTCTGGATTTCTTTCAAAAGATTGGGTTTACAGTACACACCCTCAGAGCCACCTGTTTGAGAGAGAGCCTTTTTCCACGGAATAAATTGTTAGTCATGGTCAGAAGAGGTGCTTTTGTAGGAAAGTTTTTGTGAGAAAGTCATCTAACAGGATATTTTGCTTGAGAAGCAGTGTGGAGCTGGGGGACTGGCTTACTCACAGGTAGGGACAGTCCCCGGGGAGCTGGGATGGGTACGTGAGCTGGGATGGATGGGTATGTGAGCTGGTATGGGTATCTGAGCCAGAACCCTTCTGCAGGGTCTGGCAGAGAGTGGCCACTGCAGCCAGTTCACAGCGTGCCCACCTCCCAGGTTGTCACGGCTCTGGATTTGGGTATGAGCACTGGTACCACTGACCAGTGCTTTGGTATGATGCAGGGTGTGTAGTGAGCCACAGAGCACTATTGGCAGCTTATGCATGTATCAGTTACTAGTCATTTTTTACTCAGGATGCTGCTTTACTTCTGCCTACCTCCTGGCAAAGTTAGCAGAACCATACCCCACCTACTTCCCTCTGCCAGCAGAAATTGTCCCCTTATACCCCAGGAGGCAGCCAGCTGCTTGTGGCCGCCTCAGCTCTCTCTTACCTCTCCCACCCCTGCTTCTGTCACTGACTCACTGCTACCATCTGTGGGCCTAAGCAGCAGAGCTCTTGCTATCACCCACCCATCACCTAAGCTGAAACATGCTTATGGACACTATGGCACAATGTGAGATTCACCAATTCCACTAGGTGGTCTTGTCTCTTGGCCATTGTTGCTTTGTGTTTTGCTAAGTGATAGGGGGGTGACTGAAGTAATTTCTATTCATGCAGACTGACATGATATAAATTATTTAATTTAAAACTACTGAAGGATCTGCTGACATATATAAGAGGAAGGGAAGTGCACCAAAATTGTGTCAGAACAACAAAAAAAAAAGTGTTATGTTAACATGATTATAAAGAAGAAAGCAATAAACTCTAAAAGTACTTATTCTGATGGCAGAAAATGAGAAAACGGAACAACAACACCAGCATTAAGGGTCATAATGTCTGAAAAGGCAAATAATTTCCTCAAGTATGTGTGCATACAAATGCCTGTGGGCAACACATGGATATCGAGAAGGCAGTAAAGAGCAGGTATTAACACAAGTAACTTTTGCTGCAGACTAGAGGAAAGCATTTCCCCAATAATAATAGTAGCTGCCTCACAGGTACTATCTGATGATGTTTGTGTGATATTTATAATAATATGTGGTATTACTGCAAAAGGGACAGTTGTACCTTAAAGACATCCCAGTATCCAGAACAGTGTGTGGTCACATTCACCCAGTGGGGGTTCTCCTGCTGATAAGAAATGTGCTGGACCACACAGTTCTAGCAGGAAAACTGGTGTCACTGGATAATAGATTAACCAGTAAATGGTTAATCACTGACATTCAGGATTTTACAAATGGGCAAGATATAGAGTTGTATTCTGATCTGACTGGGTGACTGTTAGGAGAGAGTTGAGACAGAGGTGTCACATTGTGGCTGCATATATCCAAACATGGCAGAGCAACTAAGAGCTTAAAGAACTCTCCTGTAAGCATACGTTAACAGACAGGTGATAATGTGCGGAGGTAGGAATGAAACTTGTGTCGTCATACCTCTATATATGCATAGCTGCTTGGTAAGTGTTAGAGACATTTACATGGAGCTGGGCATCTGTAGCACAATTCAGAGGCAGCTGAATCACAGTCTTATAGTACTGCTTTCTGATTAGTAAACACAAAAACTTTGATCAATGGCTATGGAAGTGTGTTTAGTCATCACAATTCACAGAGCATGGATTTATTGCAATCACTGTGGCTAAAGTTAAGAGATGAGTAGATCACATTTGATCAATAGGTTGAAACTATGAAAAAAGACAGTTTTCTTAAGTGTTGTTTGGAGAAAGTGACAAAAAGAGAAGCACTTGTACCAAGCACATAGAAGTGTGCTTTATTTTTATTTTCACAGCTCAAAGGTGTTGTTGAATCCAACTTTATTTTCCTGTAGAAATGTGAAATGTTGATGAATTTGATTGTGCTGCAAGAATTGTTTGGCATTTCCAAAAAACCTCTCTAAGTCTGTGACCATTCCTCCTCCTGGGATGCAGCTCATTGGTTGTGGTTTATTGCCTCTCCCTTCCCTCTTACCTAATATGAGACATTGTTTACTGACTTGGTAGTCATGATGTTTGCACTTGTTTCTACTAATTTTGTCACTTTTCCCCCTTCCATTCTGTATATTTAATTTGAGTAGATTTTTAAACATATAGCTGAAGTAACTGAATTTATTTCCAGGTTGTTATATGTATCAGTTAGAAATATATCCCCTTTTTTTTCTATGAAACATTTCTTCTTTACTAAGATGTCACCTTCACATTTGACATCCATAAAGATTAAAAAGCACATAGGGAACAGTTTCTGCTTCTAAGAAGAATCCAAATGGTTGCTCCCTAGCACACTGTTCTTGCAGAGTCAGTTGTTAGATTCAAGAGGTAGGATGATATGTTGGGTTTCTGGCTACCCAGTGCTTCCAGTGAAACCAGTCTTGCAGTCTTTGCATACCCAAGTCTCCCAGTGACTACAAAGGGTGCATAAATAACTCAGGATCATGAGCATGAGTATGAGACTTACAGTAACACAGATCTGATGTAACTTTAAAAATTATTTTCTAACACAGACGGGGCTCCAATGTCTCACTGACTTTGGATATGAGCAGTTTGGGAAGTGTTGAACCTTTTGTCTCTGTGCCAACCCCACGAGAAAAAGTAGCGATGGAATACCTACAGTCGGCCGGCCGTGTCCTGACAAGGCAGCAGCTTCAAGAAGCAGTTGCATGTTCCCATTTACTTCAAACAGAATTCATGGTGAGTTTAACAAAACGCTATAAATGAGTGTTTTTGACATAGCTGGCACAACAGAACCTGTGGGAAAAAAATAATTAGCAACACTCTAATGTCAGGGTACAAATAGTTTCTGAAGGGCAGATTAGATTGTTCCAAAGTGGTATTTTATGTTTATCCACTAAAGATAGGTAAGTCAGTCAGTTATATCCATGGATAATATAGATTCCTCTCAGTTTGAAGTCCCATTCATAGATGGGATGAATGTTTTATTAGAGTTACAGTACAAACAGCCAGGACTGTAACACTGTGACAGTTTCAAAGAGCTCATAAAGGCTGTGATGACAGAAAACACAGTAATAACTGCAGATTTTGTTTATTCCCATGTAAACATCACATATGTATGTAATTTGAAGACTAAATTTTTAGTCATTATAAATTACTTCTTGGAGCAGACAGGGACACGACAAAAAGAGAAGGAGATCTTGAGTCAGTCCAACATGTCTTTAACAAGCACTCCATACAGCAAGCATAATATACTCCAGACCAAAAAAAAGAAGTTTCCTACAAGTGTATTTAATATTAAAAAGGTGTAGCATCTAAAATGAAGACAGTGGCCAGGTATAAACAAGTCATAGCAGAAAAACTCAAGTCAGGGAAAACACATTATTAAATATTACTTTAAGAAGACCTGAAAAAGACTAGTATTGCAAAACTGACAGATGAAAAAAAAACAAGAAGAAACAAGAGGAAACACTCTCTACAAAGAAAATAGAACAGAGCATAAACTGAAGCCAGCTGAATTGGAAAGCTGAATAAGGCATGAATTTTTTTTTTTAAATCATAACGTAATTTTTAAATAGTTCAAAGGCACGAAGCTTACCAAAGAGTACAAGGATCAATAGAAGATCAAAAAGGTGGAAAAGGGAGTTGGAGAAGATGAAGCAAAAGGAGAGAAGTGGCTGCATTATCTATGTTGACCACAGAAAAACTTAGGTAATTTCCTACCTCTGTGGCAGGAGTAGAGTCAAGCAGGTCACTGCAGGATCTGTCTGATATCGAAGCATTAATGGAAGAGATTCTAGGACAAATAATTAAATGAATAAAAGCTACTCACTGCTATTCACCCAGGAATCCTAAAGGTGTTCATATATAATATTACCAATGTATTAACTGGGCAGGTGTAAACTAGCACTTAGGCACCAGCAGCTGAGGAATCAGAGGGCCAGAGGTACCAGGAGTTTTTCAGAATGGCTCCAGAAGAGATCCAGAGAACTGCAGGTCTAGAAATCTGATGTCTAAATCAGAGAACCTGGAAGGAATTATAATAAAGAAGCCAACAGTTATATGAACAAATGCAATACAGTGGGGGAGACTCAAACAGTGCAGCATTGGAAAGTTTTGTAGGCTATGTGATTGCTTCTCAGGGTAAAAGGAGGTCACCGGTGGAGTCCCAGAGTAATCTATTCTGGAGCAGGTACTGACCAAAGTGCTCATAAGTCATCTGGAAAAGGGAATAAATAGTAAGGTGGCAAAGTTTGATGATGATACTGAATTACCCAAGGTAGTAAAATTTAAAATCTACTTCAAAGAATTTACAGAAGGATTTTATGATAGTGATGAGGCAGAGGAAATTCAGGTTGAAAAATAAAATATTATGCATTTGGGGAAAAACAGTTTTGTATACTTTGCTGGGTTCTGAAATACAAGACTAAGAATCTTGGGAAAAGAACTAGAGAATAATATAGAGAACATCTTTATCACATTGGAAAAATCTATATTGCATTCACAGCTGCTTACTACTCTGATCTCTCCATTTTGAAGCACATAACAGAAATATGGTGGACATAATCACAGGCTAGAGCAGCTTCTGTATCAGGAGATAGTAAACAGACAAGGATTCTTCTGTCTAGAAAAGACTGTGAGAGGCTCTATCAGAAGCCTATAAAATCATGATAGCAAGGGGAAGGTGAATATGGAGTGATTATTCATGTTTTTTTGTGCTAAAGGAACAGTATAAGGTGACCAATGCAATACAAAGAAAAACTTGCCCCTTTCTTATAGTTCTCTGAGATGCCTTGCTACCAACTGCTATCAGAGGGTACCACAACACAAACAACTACCCAACCCAACCTTAGCCTAACTTTTTTAGCTTTTACAACTCATTAGCAAATGAAATTATACAAGCAAAGCTTTTTAAGACTGGTTTGATAGCTCAAATTTAATGAATGGAGCCACACATAAATGTGTATCCTAACAATTCATGTAAGAGCAGGAAGACCTGTACAACCCCTTGAGCACACTACAGGTCTAACAAAAACATACAAACAATTCAGTTCTTATTGTGCCAGAGCACGTGATGCCTTGGGTTTAATTTTGTTTTCAATTTGTACATGTAAGTCAATAGAATAGATAATGAGTGCCATCTTACTCTAAAAATAGGTTTTTATTATGAATAATTGCATCCTACAAAATCCGTCCTTTTATTCACCTTTAAAAAGCCAGGGTTTATAGTAAAAGTAATTTGCTTAAGAAAAATGAATCCCTTAGCTGTTTTACCAAAAATTGGTCAGACAGTGTACATGGAAAAAATTATAAGCATCCAACATACTTTTATTACCAGTTATGCCAGTGGTTTTGGGTCATTCTGCTGCTTAGGCAGGAAAGCTAGAAGAAATAACTTAATCATGTTTAAACCTCCCAGGTTAGGAGACAGTTTGTACATACAGCTTAGCACCTCCAGAGAATCCCTTTTGCCCATATCCTCTCACACAGCATCGGTGCACGACTTTGGACCGATAAAGACTCACATTTTATTTGTCCCTCAGCGGGGCACAACATGACTTTGGATGTTCAGTGTTTCCACAGAATTTTACTGAAAATATAATGACTTTTCTATTCCATTTTTAAACTACTTTTAAAAATGTGTTTCAAGATAAAGCTGTTGAACAGTATCTGTTTAGTATCTTCCTTGCTACAGATAATAGCTTTAGGAGGAACTTGAGACATGCAAAAAACGCAGTACATAACCCTCACTCATTCTGCCCACTCCGCTTGTTTTAACTAGCTAAAGAAATACAATAAGACAGTCTTCTTGAGACTAAAATTATTAGTTCCCATGAAAATCTTCAAAGTCTGCAAAAAGTGGAGAAATGTTCAAAGTTTTCAATGGAAAATTGAAACATGAGCAGTTTCCTGTTATTTTTAGTTCTTTAATTAATATTTAATTTTTTATTAACAATTTAGAGGGCATTAACTTTATTTTTTCATTGTAAAAACTGGTAAGTTACTATCAAAATATTTTTCCATAATACTTATTAAGAAAAAAAGAGCTATTTTCCTTCTTTTTTTAAAACTGAAAAAAAGTTTTTCTATTTTTACTTGGGAGAATATACCCGATTTACAAGGAGGAAGAAACGCAAATTACCCAGCATGTACTTCTTCAGTAGCCTGAGCTGCTACTATTCAAAACCCAGAATGTCTGAAGTTGGTGACATAACCAAAATTCATTATTCCTGAAATACTGGAATGCTACAAAATACAATCCTGTGTGGGAAAGTGCCAGATTATTAAATCTATAAAATTTGATTCTCATAAAAATGGACGGATGGGTACAATGAACATTTTCCTGAATTTTCATAAATTTTTCCACATTTTTTGAATGCTTTCAGAGACCGAAATAATTTCTCTTTGAGTGTGTGAACAGTTGTAGCATTTAAAGGGTAATGTGAGCCAGAATAGCTATTGGAAGGGTATCACCCAGAGAGGTGAAGTAGCCCATGAACAAAGGCATATATGCATATGCATATATAATTGCATGCATGCAACTGAACACATGAATGTGTGGACGTTATTTGTAATTATTTATGTATATATGTACATATGTTTAATAAAACAAATTTTTATATATTGTCTATATAGCTACAGACTTTTAATGCTAATTTGTACACAATCATGCCATTTGCAATCTGCTAGGCTTCTTTTCCCAGCCTTAGCAGGAACATTATCCCTATAATATCCTGAATTTTTTTCTGGAATCATCTCTTGCATTTCACAGCCAGCTTCAGAGTAAGTGACTTGTCTGTGGCTGTGATCCATGGTGTATTGTCAGATTTCTGTCTGTGCCCTTGGCCTCACAATTACTTACTCCTGGGAGGAGCCCCCTGACTAGAAAGTATTTACAGGATGTAAGTGATTAGTATTATTAATTGACCTTGTTGGCCCAGAGAAATGGGTTTCTGTTTTCAACTTGGTGGCATTTCTCCATCTGTCAGTAACTTGCCAACTAATGAATTATTTTCAAATTTCAGCTGGCATCGAGAGGGAGACAGCCAGGCGGCTGGAGGAGCCCCCCTGAGTCTCTTTTTGTGCAGGCAGAGGACTCTTCCTCACACATCTTTTTTCTGGTCTCTGTAGATGACAGATGTAGATCACTTTAAACAAAGGCTTAACATGTTGCTCTCTCTCAGTTAGTATATAGTTGAGCGGGGAAACCTTTCAGAAGCCATGCACCGGTGGTGTTTATACCAAGCCAGAACTGAACCAGGGAACCTCTAGGTCAGCCACTAGCCCAGCATAAGGCACTTACAGCCCATACCAGAGCCAGTCAGGACAATTTGGAGCCCAATAGCTGAGGGGAAGAGTCTCACACAGGTCACCACTGGGAAGGGGTGAAAGTAAGATGTGGGTATGAGAGAGATGTGGGAGCTCATTTTGTACTTCTAGGGAGGCGGAAGGGGCATCAGAGGCAGATTAGAGGTGAGACGGTTTGACCTGAAGGAATGGGGATGAGGTTTATGCAGGAATGGAGTCTCACAAGTGAGAAGATCATACGCTTAGCACAGGCATCAGGCAGCAGTACAGGGAGCTGAAAAAGGATTGGGAAGTACCTGCAAGGAAGGTGTATCTTAGCAGCAACACTTTGGCTGGCCTGAAATGGGAGGCAGCGAGTCCTTCTTTTAAGGAGTCAGCAGAAGAGCAAGGAAGAGATTGAGGAAGAAACTGAGTGTGAGAGAGAAGAATAAAGATAGTCCACTAAACACATTGGTATAAGGCAAGGAAAGTAGAAAACTAAAAACCAACACAGACAATGTTGCAGACCCATGTAGTAAGATGTTCAGAAGCCAAGTTGGCAGAAAAGAATCAAACGAATTCATATTGACTCATCTAAATTTTACTTAATTTTGCCTTCTCGTCAGCCAGAAAAGAGGGTGGCTTTCCCTGCTTGGTGAACCCATATAAAGATCTGCTGTTGGGCGCATCCTTGGCAAGCTGTTAGGGGCATTTTCCCTGTTCCTCTAAAACCTGCAGTAGCCAGTCATGCTGGGCAGGACCAGAGCTTCAGTCTGAAGGAGAGTGGCCATGCAGCTCATCTGTGCCAAAGTCCTGGGCAGGCCTGTGCCTGTGGAGATAGAAAACAGCTGATTTTGGAGGAAAATCCTTAATTAAATTTTCCAGTGGTGCAAGTCAAAGGAGGTTTGCACTGAACAGGGTAGGAACGTAACTTTTGTGCTTCCTCATGTTCCTATGTGCCTGTAAGAGGTAATTATTTAATATGCCCCTGTCTCTTTGAATAAATGTCCCAGGCTAGCAATGAAGTTTTCAAGTTTCGAGTAATGACTGTGCTTTTAAGTACAGGAATTAATTTACTGAAGATCAAATTTCAGATTACCCTAAGATAATTTAAATAGTGCTGGCCAAAAAAAAAAAATCAGTGAAAAATGGAGATCTGTGTCAACTGAAGCCTTTTTAAATGTGATTTTGCCAGATTGTTTTGGTTGGTAAAACATCCCCCATAATCAGGAAAAAAAACCCCTATATGTTTCATCTTACCATTTTCAAAGAGTTGTTTTTATTCAACTGTAAGAACACTAACAGTGTTTCAGGACCTCAAAAATCAAAATTATTCTTCCTCCTCCTTAGTCCAAGTGAAACATTCTGGTCAATGAAAAATTGCAGGATTTTTACTTTTCACGCTGACAAACAATTTGAGAAAGAGTATTTTTAAGTTGATCAGAAGTTTATCATTTGTATATTTTTGGAGCTTCAAGCAAACTGTTACATTAGTTACTTGCACATCTGCACATTTAAAGAAAAAAATGGGTCAGTCACTAAAAGATCAAAATGAGAATCAAGAGCTTCAGATTTTTATTACACTTTTGAGTCACTGAATGCTAAAGATTAAGGCACTTCATTCTAGTAGTTTCTATAAAAAGCAAGTAAGGTCTTTGACTGGCATTGTTAAGCACTTTGCACAAAATTAAAAAAATATTTTCTATATATTAATATTTAATTATTTTGAAAGTTCCTCACCCAATTATGTGAAATGTTGCGCTTTTCTGCTGCGGTACTGCACTTTTCAACTCCACCTAGAACTATTGTGTATTTTAACCTCTCTCCTAATCCTGTAAAAACTTTGCTTTTAATAATTCATCAGAAGTGTTCCTTGGAAGTCACCCCTTCAATATGCAACTCCCTGTGTTTATTAAAGGAAGGGTGTTGACAGGCTTGAGGTGGGAACCACTTTTTTTCTTAATAACTTTGATGTCAAAAGACAGTTGTGTAACAGCAGATGGCCTTCTGGTGATAATTTCCTGCATGGCTCCTTTGGAAACACCAATCTGATTTAATTTATTTTTTATAGGAAATACCAATGAATTTTGTGGATCCCAAAGAAATTGACATCCCAAGTCATGGAACTAAAAACCGCTATAAAACTATTTTGCCAAGTAAGTGAATTAGCCCATGGTTTCCAACAATGACATTTAGTCCTGCTTTGAGAATGTATTGCTGTGAAAATCTAGCAGTCTTTACCTTTGATCGTTGGGTACCTATTCATAAATGTATTTATATTCTGTGTAGAAAGACAACAAAAGGCCAGTGCTGTAGGACTGGCAAATGCAGAACTCCCGCTGGATGCCTTAGTAAGTACACACTTGGTCAGCATCCCAACAGTGCACTGAAATGCAGCCCGGGTGCATGCTGGTTTTCTCTGGAGGACAGCTCAGACAGATGGGCAGAGAGAGGTCTGCTGTGCCTCGCAGTAGCTCCCCTGATCTGGAGCATGAGAGGACCAAGACTGTTGCCTCCATCACAGCCCACACTGCCTTGCAGTCACTGAATTCCCTCTCATTGAGTCAAGCTATTTGGGATCCTGTCCAACATTAAGTGTCTCAAACTGAAAAAAGCAAGTGCATCCTATCCTTTCTTGTAGTGGACTTCCATCTTTGTCCTCTGGTTTTGTTTTTATTCACCATGCACTACATGGCTTTGTGGAAATTTGTCTACATTAGTAAGAAAACCACTCTGACAGTGCTGCCTCATCTTTGCTGTAAACCTGTTACTGTTTTGCTATACTGCTTCTGTGTTTTCATTGGCCCAAATTATTTATTTCTGATGAAGTAAAAATTGTTTTTTTATAATTAAGAGTGATTGCAAACTTTTCAGTGGAAGAGTTTTCCTTCAAAATACATGTTTCTCTGAAATGCAACTATTTTCATAACATTTTTTGGAGGGTAATGAGATATTCAATTTTTCTTGTATTAATCATTTTCTTCTATGTTCAGTTTCAAAATAGGTTGCAGAAGTTTTAACATTGCACTAAGTATAGACTTCAATAGTTGTGTTTTTATAATATTTTGATATCACCAAAATGAAAATGTGCAGTGATTCAAAATGTTGAGGGACACTACCACAGGAACATGTAAACACATCCCTTTGCTTATGTTTGGAATGAAGAATACTTTTAAAATTACAGCATATCCTGTCAACTAGAAATTTGTTTTCTAAGCATCTCTATAATGTCCTTGTAGGCCTATGTTATATATTAGTCATCACGCACTTTAAATGACAAGATTTCTCTCGGTAAGCCTGAATGCATTGTAATTTGTTCACATCATACAAAGACCTTGCAGTCAAATTAATGAAAATTGATGGCCTTCAGCTGCTAGATCAGTCTCAGAAATGCAATACATAGCTGGGAAAGAAACTCGTTGCTTGAAGTCCTTGCTTCCCTCCAGCCCCCAATAAAATTCCCCTTGACTTCAAGGTTAGTTGATGTAATGTAACCAATAGCTGTGTGCAGCTGAGTGCAATGGAGGAATGTTGAATGGAATCGAAGAAAGTAAGTAACTGAATGCAAATTATATACCAAGTAATCAGAAAATTCAGCATCCCTTAGAGTCTGGCCCGGTGTCAACAGGATGTTCGCAGAGGGTGAAATCCTGACCCCTTTGACGACAGCAGGACTTTTGCCATCAGCTGCAGTGGAGCCAGGATATCACCAAGCCTCCCTCCGCCTGACGGGCGGATTTTTGGAGGGAGTACTCCCTTTCCGTAGCATCTCGCATCTGAGCTGTCCCAGCCACCATCAGGTTTGCCTTCAGCAACGCCTTGCAAGTGCAATGAGTCCTATTTCACTGCAGCATGTGTTTTGAATCGGGACACGACAGCTGGGCCGTGGTTGATGCTGATGAGCTTTGAGAACCAGCATGCCTTTGTATTTTCACCTCTGGTTAGCTGGGACGTGCAGCTAACTCCGAAGCACATTTTCAGTCCAAGCACGCTGCTGGTGTGCACCACAGCTACTCACTGACAGGCACTTTGTAACCATCTTTGACAGAAATCAAAAGGTCTGTTGTGTGTTAGCACCAGACTGTTTCAAAGAAGATATTTTGAGGATTGAGGCACATGCTCATAATAAATACTCACACACCCCACACCCAGTCCAAGAGGGTTTGGAAATGATTTGAGTGATTAAATAGAGCAGCCTTCCTGGTTTCCTGCTCAGATTATATCAACCCACTGCTTCATCCACCCATGTCAGCTTTTCCATTTCCAGTGCTGGGTGCGTCTTCTGAATTGGGGCACCTGTGGTGATAAGTGACGTCTGAGCTGATGGATTGTCTCCTAAAAATGCCCAGTCCTGCCAGCTCCACCCTCTCTACTGTGGAAGATGTTCTCACTTTCTAAGAGATAATTCTGTGACAGGGTGCATGAGGGCAGGTTCATGTTAATAGATACTACCAGCCAGACACACTCATGTGAAAAAAAAAAAAAAACAAAAAAAAAACATGCCTAATCAGAATTATTCTATATGGAAAACTATAAAGTGCAGGAAATGTTACATTTCTATGAAAGATGTTTCAGTTGCACTATGACTTAGACAATGCTCATGTAAACATTCTTAGGGTTTCTAAGTGTTACTTGCTTTATAATAATAAGCTGGTACAACTAATGAGGGGACAGTGTGGAATCAAAGGCAAGTGGCTAAACTATTCCTTAAAATCACTATTCATCCCTCCTCTTGCTTGTGACCCCACCCACTGGTCCTGTTAAACCCCACTCCGTATCTGCAGTTGCATTCCCTCTGCTGTCCACCTACAGCATTTCTCACTCCCTCTGAGCAGGTTCCCAATCCTGCACACAGGTTTCCCAGTCTCTCACCGCAGTCACATCCTTGTGGTGGAACACCAACATCACTGCACCCTCCTCATCCTCATACTCCACATCTTTGCCTTTGCCTGCTTCTCCTACAGCCCCAGCTACATGTCCTCTCAGAAGGACCTCAGCTTTAAAGCTCTTTTCCCCTTCCTATCTCCCTTTTCTACCTCAAACCAGAAACAGAATTCCCATGGTGCTTCAGAGCACGTGCGGGCTCTTGCTTATAAAGCAGCAAGTGGCTTAACACTATTCTGTGGGTATCTTTGTGTGTGCAACACATCCAAGGTATCCAAGGATGTCATTCCTTACCCCTTTCAGAGGAGTCCTCTCAGGGCCAGAGCTCTGAGTGAAAATACTCCCAGCAGAACAGCAAATTCACAGTAACATGAAGGTAGAAAGCACTTGGCAGGTCAGACCCAAAAATGCAAAAGCTGTTGGTTGAAGTCCTTTTGCTAAAACTGGCTCTGGCACTCTAGTTAAAGACAAGAAGAAACTGCAATCTGAATCGTATGAACAGAGCACTTCATTATGCAAGTTTATAGACAGATGCTGGAAAGCCATCCTCTTGATGTTGAGAATTTTCAAGCTCCCTTGCACTACAGTCCTGACTATGAATGGTCATGTTTGGTCCAGTCCTGCTCCCTAATGCAGGCAATAGGATCACCAGCAGGTTTTCAAAGACTGAAGAAAAAAAATCGTATTAACAAAGCAGAAGGAGAAAAACTGTTTAATCTTAGCAGAATTAAACTTAGGTTCATCAAAGCATCATTTTTGTATATCCATGTGAGTTGACAAAATGTATCCTAGTTGTGGTCACCAGTGTCATAACATCTATATTTGTAAATAGCTAGTATTCTAATAATTGATCAATGTTAGACTGCATAGTTAAAAATTAAATGGATATTAGGCAGACCTTATTTTTAATAGATAAGAAAGATTCCCTTTGCATGAATGAAACTTTATTTTGTAATGCTGAAGCATGTTTTAAAGTGCAGAAGGACTCAAAATGATAAATCTGTTAAATTTTCCATTGATAAATTCTCGATTATACTGGAAGTACCAGGAAATTATTCAGATGAGATTAAAAAAAGATGAATAGTTTACAGGTGTTTTATGTATGAGGTGTTTTGAGGCAGTTGTATTGCAAGTCTAATAGCCTATTCCCCACCTGGCAGAGATTGGGAATGCCATCTGGTATGATTCTTCCAGGTTCTGTGTTACAATGCTTACCAAATAATACCAGTATCTGTAACCATTTATAGACTGCAAGCAAAACCAAGCAATTCAGACCAGTATTAATTTATTAAAGATGGAGTTAGAAGCTTCTTCTATTCTTATAGGAGAGCTATTCCAGACTTCCTAGATACATGGAAGAAAACAGCAGTAATTTTGCCTCAGTCAAAATTGTAGGAGGCATTTTTTGTTAGTAATTTTAAGTGCTTAACAGCTCTGCTGTGTTTCAAGATGTTTTACAAACACTGATGAATTCAGCCTTGCAGCCACCATCTGTGTCTCTGCTGTAGCTTCAGTATCTCAGATTTTGCCATCCTTGAGGAAAAGATTATTGCTTCCAAGGTATTTGTCATTTAGGAGAAAGCTAATTACTTCCATTTGTGTCTGATGATTGCTTAGTGGCTCTGGATCTTTAGTGGCACTCGGGTTTTCCTCATTTCAGAGCTGAGTTTGCATCACTTACCTATTTCATAAGTGATCAGGACTTTTAATTTATAAAATATTCCCATTCAGAAGCAGTGTTTATTTAGTTGATTGGAGTTAGAAGGAGGTCTCAGAAATTGTGAAACTGATTTAGCTGCTCCTTAGTAACAGAGGGATTTATCCCAAGACATAGTAATTAAACTGGATGTTGAGTCTGCTTGGAAGAGGTTTTTTAAGGTAGGGGTCAAACTACACCAGAATCAGAGGCATTGTGTGAGCTAGAGGAAGCTGGTGTTTTTTCAAGGCCACGTAGCCTGAGGCATTTGTGGAAATGGGTAATAATCACTCTGTGCTGAAAAGGAATGAGAGGTTTCCTGTCCTCATATTGTTAAGGAAAAAGTTGGGAAAGCTAGTACAAAGAGATTTTAGAACAAGCTAACTAGGGTTCATGTTGTGCTATTAACTCAGAGGACAAGACTTTCATGCACAGACTTTGAACTAGAAGTCAGGCATTGATTTGCACATTTTAAGAAACTTAAATGCTTTCAAAACATAAGCCTGTGTCCTGCAAAGGCTCCACCCCTGTCCAAGATGTTCCTGTGACCTCCAGTGGGAAAGGACATAAAGTATGTTTGGGATCATCCCTCCTCTTCCTTTGATTTGCAAAGGTTTTATCTTGTTCTTGGGAACACCATGAAAAGTCACAAAAGCAATCCAAAACAACTCTGAAAATACCAGGTTTTGCTACAGCATATGTATATCAGTTGTATATTTCTCATGTAAACAGCAAGGCCACATAATAAATAGTGTTTTCTTACCACTCTTCAGTCCAGCATCCATGTATTTGTCTTTGAACACATTGCCGAGATTGCACTTAGCAAAGCAGCTATCCAGAGACTATTTCCAAGCCGATAGGTGTTTGTATACTGTCAAAAAGCTGATGATTCTAATTAATTATTTAAACAAATTGCCAGAAGAAAATATTTTTTTTTAGTACAGAAATATTTCCATATAGTTTTGTTAAGAGTAGAATATTTTCTCAGAAAAGGTGTGAAGAAAGTCAAAAGTGTGCCCCTAAAAAGCCACAACAAAGGCACTTCGTTCCCCTTCTCCTTGTCCCTTTCTGTTACGCTGTATAATTGGAGAATTTTCTGGCTTTAATTCCAAAAGGGTAGTACATGGAGGATCACATCATCACAAATGAGCAAGCAAAAACTTCCTTTGCAGGAGGGATTTAGTAACCCCCAGCTCTATACTCAACAGAACTGGCCCCAACTCTCTTTTAGATCATCCAAGGCAGTGAAGGAAAGAAGAGTGTGAAGGAAAATGTTCCTGTATTATGGCATTGCGTCTCCACTCTAGTACACATGAATGGTCACAAATTTGTCAGATGAGAACACAAGACTGAATGGAAGGACGTGGATTACCTAGTCCAGCCCCTTACAGTGAATTTAAATTGGTATTAGAAAACATAGCTGATTTCATCCCAGGCAGAGGGAACTTTTCTTAATTTAAATCCAGCTGTACTCATTGGAACAGTACAGGCAAAGATCAAAGGACTTGGTGTAATTATCCAGCACCATACAATGATATGACAGAGGTTTCAGAAAAGGTCTAGGCAGGTCAGCTTGATACTGAACACAGGCAGACCAGAGCTTGCTGAACATTGTCTGGACGTGCTAGTGTTGCTTTGATGTTCACACCTTGCTGAGATACTAACACACGGCCCATCATTGTGCAGTATAGATGTACCTTAGTTACACTTGATGATTGTTTGCAGAGGGAAGAATTTTATGCATAATGCTTTAGTGCTTGATTAGTGCTTGACAATCCCGAAAAATAGTAGATTATTTTCTTCAAGTCTTTGGTTCTCCATAGAAATCTTCTAATTATGGGTTTTCTTGTCGATTTCCATCTTCCTTGTGCTCTTAGATCCTCTAAGCAGAGTGTATTTGAAACCAAAAAATCCATCTGACTCCTTGAGTACCTACATAAATGCTAACTACATTAGGGTAAGTAAATGTACACTTCATGTGCTTTTGAGACAATATTTGATTTTCCACGTGAACAGCTGATTTTGCCAAGGTGCCACTCTTTTTATTCTTACCCATCTTCATTGATAAATCCTAATCTTGTCTATGTGATAGAAATAGTTTCATAACAAAACTTTGTTTGTAACAAAGACCACATAGCTATGAATGTACTAAAATGTTTGCAGTTAGAAAAAGTTTATCAAATGGTTTATTAAAATATTAAGAAACATGTGCATTACTATTTCTGTTAACTTTTGTATTTACCATTTAATATTGTCCTACTGCCTTATAGTAAAGAAAAGAGGGCTACCTTTTAATAGTGACAGAGATAGCAATATGATGGTAAAGAGATCAGAGTCAACTGCACTATAATCTATAAGGTTGCTCATTGAAGTCATGTTATTCACAAATAAGTTTGGTGGTGATGGGGTTTTTTTATGCTTAACTATATCAGTTGATAGTCCTGAAATCATCAGTTAAGTAATTAAATAAATGCTGTAATGAGTTTGTGAAAAGGAACATAAACAGATGGCACACCCACTCATTCACATATTTACTCTCTATATTAAATGGTTACATGATACAAAGACTTTACCAGCATGAACTCTGTTGGAAAGCATTATTTGTAAGTGTCAGCTATGTTGTAATCTTCGATGACACACACATAGACAGCGCCTTGAACTCAGCACATTGTATGCTGAATAGACTACTAAGAAACTTCTTCAATCGTGTTTTAGAAGTATAGTCCTCTACCTGCAAAATTAAATGTTTTGATTAGAGTTATGTACTAGATCTTCAGCTGGAATAAATGTAATAGTGCAACTGAAATTTGGGCCCAGAGATCTTCAATTATGTTGCTTACTTAAATAACAGTATATTAATATACATACATACATACACACATACACATCCCCCATGCCCCTTACCCTGCCTCACTTTACATCCTGTACTTTCAGTGTTTTGTGTGAAAGACATCATCATGTAACTAAGCAGAGCAGTTCTCTTTGGAGAACAACTCTTCTATCAGCCAGGCCATGTTTTGAGTCCTCTGATATCTCCCTTTTCCCCAAGCTACCACCCTTCAGGCCAACATATGGTATTTCTTCTGCCGCTAACATGGGTTGAACTAGCAGCAACTGCAAAAAACATCGAAGCCAGTGATGAAATGAAATTTTACATCCGTGTATGCAATATCATTAGGCTTACTGGGATCCTGACACACCTGTCTTGGACAAAGTATGTTCAGGCAGATTGGTGAGTAGAAGGAGGACTGTTTATACCAGCTGAGGATCTAGCCCATTGGTTCATGCAATGAGTTAACAGCTGTCAGGGAGAAAGACCCATGGCTAGAGGCTTCTGTACCACCTCCAGCTGTTCTCCATCTCCTCATCTCCTTCAGACATTGCTAAGCTCTCCTGATCTGCATTACTGTCAGGTACCCCACCACTGCACAAACTTATAAGTTCTCCTTCTCACCCAAAAAATAAGAAGGCAATCTCTTGTTTCTTCCCATTTCTTCTTGCCTTTCCCTTCCTTTTGCTATCCACTGTTTACCTGGCCTTTCTTTAACCTCCTATACACTTGTTTGTCTCAGGACTCCCTATACTGATATGCTGTCCCTCCTCTAAGGTCTCATAAAGGCAAATTTCCCTTAGTAAAGATGCAGAGCAGTCTTTGACTCCCCAAGCATTCATGTATTTTAAATCTTTTTTCATGTCATGAATCTTTGCAGAAGCCAGTTTTATAGTTCTCGTTTATTTTCTGTGGCTTGTTGACTGTAAACTATCTTGTAAGCACTGCAGCAATGTAAATAATAGATTAAAGTACCACTGGCTGATGGGAAACCCCAACAACTTGGAGAGAACAGGGTAAGCTAGAGGAAGCCAAGTAAGCAGGGAAATACAAGAGCAACTGATGTATTCTCAGGACCATTTCAGTCCATTGAATAAGAAGTTTCCAGAGGAAAAACTGTTCTGCTGAAAAATTTCTTATCTTCTCTACTGTTAAGTCATAACTGCTTTCAATTCAAATAATATTTGGGGTTTTTTTAATTCCAGTTTCCTTTTTTTGCTCATTTAGAACATTCACCTGCAATTTTGGTTTACCACATGAATTTAAAGTAAATGCTTTTGTGTCTGTCTGTTTCTAAACCAGGGATATGGAGGTAAAGAGAAGGCTTTCATTGCAACTCAGGGACCCATGATTAATACCGTGAATGATTTCTGGCAGATGGTTTGGCAAGAAGACAGCCCTGTCATTGTTATGATCACAAAGCTGAAAGAAAAAAATGAGGTATGACAACTAGCCAAACTGAGAAATTATTCCATTGGCTGCATACTGTAGAAAGAACCTTAGCAGATATGGAAGGAAGCTAGTGGATAACGAGCTCTTAAATGATCTGGTAATGGGCAATGTGAAAAGTAATGTTGGTGTAGCCAAATAACACCAACTGCAATTGCACAGCAATCATAAAAGACGTATTTAAAAAAGGCAAAAAGGAATTCCCTTTTCTAGATCTGTGCTGTTGGGTTCATAATTTTTTAAGAAACACCTCATTTATCTGTTGGTCGTCTCTGTACTTGTTACTTTCTGTTATGTTATGATTAGAGGTTTCCTGACATGGTTGAAGTTTGCACTTTGCTATAATGATATGTTTTGAATCCATTCCAGATATTAGAAATCTTCTGGACCATCCCAGAAATATAGTTTGGGCTCACAAATGCCAATACTATGGAGCGACTTAGCCAGAATGGAAATACATGGCTCTCTATCTTAGTACCAAGTAGAGATGACAATGGCATTTTAATTGCCTGTTATACATTCTATGATTTTTGGATGGATTCCTAACTATATCTCTAATAGCTTTATTTAATGTTCATGTAAATTGTTGCCAGGCTTTCCTTGATAGTGCCAGAGTCTATATATGTGACTGCCAGACATCAGGAATGAAAATCACTCTCCCGTGCAGAGGACCAACACAAAGCTCTCTTTTGGAAGTTTGAATGTCAAAGTGGTTTACAGGGCAAGAAAGAGACAGGCCTAAAGGAGCTGGACTTCTTTCTTGTGTCCAAACTCCTAGACTTGGTATCAGTTCACAACTTCTGGTAGGTACCTCAATCAAGTCTCAGCACCATGCCAGGTAAGCACCAGGGCTATATTACCCCTGCTCCAATCACAGCCCTGCCCTTCAAACTCAGGTGCATGTGATGATGGAGAAACAGAGTTTATTCAGGCAAAGTTCCCAGTCTCAGTGATCAAGGGACCAAGATGCTGAGTGCGTTCCTAGGGCTCAAACTCACTGCTCCACTTAAACGTGGAGTCAGTAGACATACTCTTCTTTCTTCCACACTTGACTGCTGCTTGGCTTTTTGTCACTGTGAGTACGGGCTTCTAATATGAACTTGCTTTAAAATCCAGCAGATTTCAGGAAAGCTGTGTGTAAAGAGTAGGTTGGTCCTGTAAACTATCCCAAGACATATTTCCAAACCTGATTCCATTTTGCACGAGACTGTTCAAACAAGTGTACATTAAAAAGATTACTCCTAGAAAAACATAGAAAAACTTATCCTGGCCTAACTGGCCAAATAAATAAGTATTTCACTAAGGAAATGCTGACTGTTTAAACACTCACATCTGACACTGTGTAAGAAGAATGACTTGAAAGAACTGCCTGGTGGTTTCAGTGTGTCAGGAAGCCCTGTGTTTACCTGAGTTACACAGGCTCTAGGCGCTGGTGTTTATCTGCATTGTTGTGGCCTGGCAGTGGTAATTTCCTCCTAATAGAAAGGGTGGGGAATCTCAAATCGTTCCCAGGCTATAAAGAGAGGCTGTGTTTGCACAAGCTGTCCTGCCCTGTCTAGAAGCCTTCAGAACTCTCCCACCCTTAGTGGGTTCCTCCTGAAACTTTGCTTGCTGTTGAAAAAAAACAAAAACAAAACAAAACAAAAAAACACAAACAAAAAAACCCCAGTTTAGCTAAAGGCTATTCTCAGAATATTAACTTGACTGTTAAAGTATTTGTTTTCTACAGGGAAGGCAAGAGCAGATGTTAGTGAGCATAATAGTACTTGATATTTTCTCTTCTCTATGGTCTGCTTTATTTCCATCATTTTCAGGGAGGTATATCTGCTATATACACACATAACATACAACTGCCTTAATATTTGAAAGCATACTCATCCACATCCACCCCTGCACAAATAAACCTGATTCAGGTATAAGCTACATTCCTCAGTTAGTATAACGTTGGACTGCCTCCATTTAAGCTATAATGCATTATAATGTATAAATTAATGTCAAATGAGAAACGTGAAAAATCATAATCTCAACAATAAATTAATTTATTTAGCATAAGTAAAATTATTTGGGACATTAGTGCCCTAGTTCAATATATTGATTTGATGAATTTGCAGTAACAATGGAAATTGTGTGAAATTATGATAAACAAAGGTTTCTGTAGAGTTAGTTCCTTTAATAAGATGAAAAAATTACTAAGATTCTCTGGTAATAGTTTTCATAAGGTGTATGAAGATAAAATATGAAAGTAGAGAGCTGAGCAAAATATTCATTTCAGCTGTATGAAAAAAAATGGAGCATTAAATTGTTGGATTTTCTTTCTTTTTGATTTTGAACTAATTAACAAAATGAGATTGACTTGTAAGTAAGAATAATGCTGAAGGAACTATGGAGGCTATAAGTATTTTAATCAGAATCTGTAAAACCTGTCCTCAAAGCTACAATGTCTGAACAGATTGGAAATCTACCTGTGCAAGGAGAATGCACAGCAAAGGAGATTCTACCTGAATAAATAATGAGAGAATTGGAATTCAAGGCTATAATTTTAGGGTTAATATGAGGAAAAACACATCTCACCTAGTGATCTAGGTACCCTCCCTGGACACTGAAAAGCAGTAGTCACCTCCAGAGGGTGTTCCATCCCATTCTAAGATAGTCACTGAAGGTCACTGTCTCTAATTCTGTAGTAATATCTTAGGACACAATCTTACAAAGCTTTATCCACAAGGAACATATAAACTTCGGATCTTACTGATAGTTTAGTCAAGACAACTGAGCAATGGAAATTTTGAAAAATGTGGAGTGTAAGAATTCTATAGACTTCTGTATAATTTTATAGAGAGGTTTATAGACTTCTGTATTATCAGTTGTTTTTTGAAGTTATACTGTGTATTCCATAGTTGATACACATTTTTTTTTGCCTTTAGAAAACACTAGCAAGAAAGGACTACTACTGACAGATGCATTATACAATGCATGTTTATTCAACTTGGATAATGCAAATCTTGTTGACAGTAATTATCTAAAACAATCTCGTTAACTCACTATTTAAAACTCCTGATATTTTTCATGTAACATTTTTTCCCTCAGTTAGTCTATAGACAGTCTTATCTACACATAGCGAAGTAGATTTTGTAATTTGGAAATCCTACCTTTTGAAGAATTCACATAAGCCTCTTTGAAGATTACTTATTAGTTGAGTATTGGCTCCATAGATATGTCAGAGGTTTTGGAAAACTTTAAGAACATTTGTTCCGTACTTAGAGGATTTTAATATATGAAGACAAATCCTGCAAACCATCTTAAAGTATACCTCTTACGCTTGAGTTAGTAGTGCCAGTAAATAGAGGGCAGGAGTAAAATGGGATTCTGGAATTGAAGCTTTGTTGTAATTATTCATTACTGTTGTGTGTTGGCTTGGTTATTGGGACATTTAATGTGTAAATTTGTTGGCATAGCTATATGGAAAAATAAAGAAGTGGGGCTGAAGGAAAGCAACTTCATGAATATTTGAGACTTTTTAAACCAATTTTGTTCAGGGTCCAAATGCAGGGAAAGTAAAGCAAGTAACCCACTAGCTGAAAGGGCCTTTCTCCATTCAGCAGAATTGTCTGGGGGACCTGGCTGCAATAGGAGTGAAGCCTGACACCCAGTGAGCATGGGATGGGGTGCACAAGGAGATGGAACAGGGGATGGGGGAAGCCTAAGCCTGTAGCCCTGTCACAGGGGGAAGGACAAAGGCTGAAATCAATTAAAGCTCTTGAGAGATACTATTTCTTGTATAACCTTCCTGTTCAGGTCAGGGAATGTGTTTAGGTTTGGGTTTGTTTGGGTTTTTTTTTTAAAAAAAGGGTCAGGCACTAGATTAGAAATAAATAGTCATTTATTAGCAAAAAGCTAACCAATGTAAATGAATCTGAGGGAGGAATTTGAAAGATGGCAGGAAGATGAGATTTTCTGTGTGAAAGTAAGAAGATTCCCAGGCTTTTGACTGGCATGCAAGTTGGTTGGGAATTTTTTTTTTTTTTTAGCTTAAGCATCTTTTTAGAAATCCCACTGTTACATGTTTGCTGACTATATAGAGGATTGTAAGTCCAAGCTCACAAAATATGTGACCTATTTAGAAAGTGCTCTAATAGATGTATATGCTGAAAGGGAAACTGTGAAGCCTGAAAGATCAGCAAGGAACAGAATCAGGACCAGCACAAAGAGTGGGGGTGGAAGAACACATGATGATAAGAACAAGTGAATTCTTCCTTTTTTCTGATACATTCTGTAGGCGAGAAGCTTTTACTGTTTACAGACATGAGCTAAAGACCACCTTTCTTAACCACTGTGTTTAGCTTTTGAACAGATTTAAAATATATCTTCCTGAGACCAGTGGAATTTTCTCTATGGTTCAAGCAATAGCTTGAGGCAATTTACTCTTTTTTGCCTATGCTCCCAGGATTTTCTATATTATTTTTGTATGTCTGATATGTTTATCCCTCCCATCTTCATTTTCATCTTTATCCCTTTATTACAATTAACTTTCAAAAACATGCTAATTCTCCCAAATATCTGTCCTCTTAGAAGTGGCTGAACCAGCTGATACCAGCTCTATTTTCAAAGCTATTTTTTAAAGCAGTAACAATCGATATTTTAAAAAGATGCATGGAGACTGTGTTAAAAATAATCCATTGTATCTCACTAAATGTAGACAGAGTGCAAAATGAAAGTTATTTTAATGAACAGCTCCATTCCATTGTCCACCCAGCTCAAGTTGCCAATTTCAGTTCTGGGAAAGGGTCAAGAAAAACACTCTTCTGGAGTGCCTGAAGGCTTTGTAGTGAGTGTCGCATTCTCGCATTTATCAAGGAGTCTCAGGAGTTGACTCAACTATTGTTGATTGTCAGGGTACAATTGTGTATTTAGACTTTTCTTTTTCCCATATTAGCACTGAAAACTACACTCCCAGGGAGGGGCATGAATTACAGATCTGGTAGATGATAGTAGCTATATGTGTCACATGAGGGGACTGTGCAACTTTTTTTCATACAAATTTCTTGAGTATTTTATTGCCATTCTTGATGTCTTCGGGGACACTGCAAATTTAGGATGTCCGAGTAATTCTGCAAAATACAGAACGAAAACAGTCAGATTGGCCAGCATTATTTCAGAAAATGTGCCTTTCACACGTCTCACACTATTAAGGTAATGAGCATCTATTTTTAGAAAAGTATGTATACAGCAGAGATGATTTGGTTCGATCAGCTATTGGGTTATCAGGTAGAGTAGCAGCTTAAAGATCACACCTGGTGGTAAAGATGATTTTCACTGATATTTTCACTGATATTTTCATTGATGCTTTTCACTGATATTTTTTTCTGGTTCATTTTTAGCAGGATTTACTGGGAGTTATGCTTTATCACAATTAATTATATTAAAGGAAATGTTTCTTTTTGCTGCATAATGTAGGCTACTGTCTACCTCAGTTTCTTCAGCAAGAGTTTGTGAGGAAATACAATTTATTTCGGAGATTCCTATTATTGTAGAACTGTCTGATCTCTTGGTGGTTTTTTACCTGTGCATTAGATATGAAAAAGAAGGTTGTCTTTAATTGTTGGGGGTTTTTTTTATTTAAACAAACAGGTAGATGTGACTTTCAAACACCTTACACTCTTAAGGTAATAAGCATCTGTTTTTAGAGAAGTGTTTAGACAACGGGGATATTTGCTTTCAGGTAGACTATACAGATACTTTAATGGAAATTAATATGAAGTTACAATTGACTTGAAGATAAGCAAACTTGCAGGGGAAAAATAAAATGGTTCATACTGTAAATACTATTTCTGCATCTCCTTTTTAGTAGATGCTTGTCATTGGACATTGATGAAATCAGGACATTGCTGAAATAGTATAACAATACTGATTCATTAAGAATTCTGTATATAATTTTGTATAGCATTAGCAAGACTGATGGGTATTTTTAACAGTCATTTCCAGTAAGTTGTATAGTAGACAACTCAGATTCTGCAAAATACTTTAACATGTACATTAAGGCTCATTGAATTCAGTAAGATCTAAGCGCACATTTACATGCTTTGTTGTATCAGGGCTCAGAAGAGTAAAGAAGCTAAGAAGTCTTGTGAGGAGAGGACAAATTGGGAATCTCTTGCTCAGAAGGAAATCCCATTTGGAAAGAGTAAACTTTATAAATTTGATTCTATGAATTAAAGAATATACTAGGAAAAATAATCTTTAATTTTGAATGTGGAAAATAATTCCTTTAGTTGAACTTCATTGAGCTTTTAAGAATAAAAACAGATATTCAAAGTGTTCAGTGATAGAGATCCATATTTGAAAAACTTAGATCCTGAAAATCAGGCCTAAGTCATTCATTAAGAACCCTGCAATATCTTATTTAGGAATGCTTCTGACATGAATAACATCTCAGTAGAATTCATCTGAACTTTCTAGACAAATATATTCTGTGTAAAAATTAAATATGAACATGGCTCCAGGATTCAGTTTGTTGATGACACTGATGCTTGCTTTCCAGAAATGTGTGCTCTATTGGCCAGAAAAAAGAGGAATCTATGGGAAGGTTGAAGTCCTTGTTAACAGTCTGCAAGAATGTGAAAACTATACTGTCCGTGAGCTTACAATAAAGGTAACAACCTGCATCTGAGAAGCATTGTTCCTAATGCTTTATTGTTTTAATGTTAAATGAAGTTAAAGTGTTTTTTTTTAAAGGGCATGAATTTTTACAGGAGGAGTAGCTGAGCTCAGAGCTGCAAGTTATGACTTAGACCAAAGTGCTGAAAAACTTATGGTATTGCTGTTTTGTGTCACTCTGGCAATAAAAACGGCTTCAAAAAGAGTGCAAGTTTCACTCTCTTAAATTACATTTGCTTTGAGACCTTTTTAACATTGCCAAGGCAACGTAAAGGGGGTTTAGTTGTTGAAGGAACTAGCATAGCATCATTCTGAAAAAGACACGCGGGTCATGTGTGCCGAGTGCAATGCTACAGGCTTGGGGACGAGTGGCTGGAAAGTTTCCTGGCAGAAAAGGACCTGGGGGTGTTGGTCAACGTCTGGCTGAATATGAGCCAGTAGTGTGCACAAGTGGCCAAGAAGGCCAACGGCATCCTGGCCTGTATCAGAAACAGCGTGGCCAGCAGGACCAGGGAAGTGATCATCCCCCTGTATTCGACATTGGTGAGGCCACACCTTGAATGCTGTGTCCAGTTTTGGGCCCCTCATTACAAGGACATTGAAGCACTGGAGCATGTCCAGAGAAGGGCAACGAAACTGGTGAAGGGGCTGGAGAACAAGTCTTATGAGGAGCAGCTGAGGGAACTGGGGTTGTTTAGACTAGAGAAGAGGAGACTGAGGGGAGACCTAATAGCTGTCTACAACTACCTGAAAGGAGGTTGTAGGGAGGTAGGTGTGTGTCTTTTCTCCCAGGTAAGTAGTGATAGAACAAGAGGCAATGGCCTTAAGTTGCACCAGGGGAGGTACAGATTAGATGTGAGGAAAAGTTTCTTCACTGAAAGGGCTGTCAGGCACTGGAACAGGCTGCCTAGGGAGGTGGTTGAGTCACCATCCCTGGAGGTATTTAAAAGATGGCTAGATGGCGTGCTCAGAGATATGGTTTAGTAGTGGAAAGGTATGGTTGGACTCGATGATCTCAGAGGTCTTTTCCAACCAAGTGATTCTATGATTCTATAGTCCAATTGAGAAGCTAAAAATATGAGGAGTATGTAAGAAAAGCTTCTTGCTTTCATTGTTCTGACTAAACATTAACTGTGCAAAATAAGGCAGATGCTTGTCTTCTAAGTTACTCCCCATATTACACTTATGTGCTATTGGGTTGCATCATCTGCTGCTCCTGACAGAGCATTACAATAAATAATGAATTGGGAAAATTTGTTTGGTGTTTCAGCCCAGGCAGTGAGAAGTGGGCAGAAGTCATATCATCCAACGCAAATTACTCCAGCCCATATTTAGCCCCTTTGCTTGTTGAAGTAAGTGGTAGCAGCCTCTGTTGGAGAGAATAACTGGACAAACTGGGATATTTGATTAATCTAGGAGGGCAGTCCTTCTGCACCTTTAACTTAAATACTCTTGTAATTTTAGTATCAGACCCTTATGATAATGTCCTTAAAAGATAGTGGAATTATACAATAATTTAGAGAATCAGAAGCCCAGATGACCTAATCTCTCTAGATCTTATTGCTGATCTAACACAGACCTCTGTCAATTCCCAACTGACAACACAGTCAGCAAGTCAGTAGTCAGATGGATAGAGCAGAACTTATATAGCTGTAAAACCAGCTAAGTTTTCAGGTGCACAAACCCTTCTTACAACTGTGTCCTTGGAAGCATGCCCATTCCCTGCAATTGTGTCCTCTGGGTCTAATAAAAAAAAATTGTTAAATCTCTCTTAACATTTTTACTGTCTTTTTACTGTAACATTGAGAGAAATAAAAATAATTGTTCCCCACAAGTGTACATATAAAATCTTCATGTTATTTTCAGCAAGGGAGTCAGTCCCGGAGTGTGAAACACTACTGGTACACATCCTGGCCGGACCACAAAACCCCCGACAGTGCTCAGCCTCTGCTGCAGCTCATGCTGGATGTAGAAGAGGACAGAGTGGAATCACCTGGCAGAGGGCCTGTCATTGTGCACTGCAGGTAATCTACAACCTTTCTCTTAAATGATTGCCCAAAACAAGGCCACAACAAATCACATGAAGCAGTCTTCCTCCTAAACAAAAAACATAATTGGGGAAGAGTAAACTTCCCCAGACCCTTTTCATGCTAATTGACTTTTTCTGTTCATATTTGAGGATTTGAGTTTTGGAGAGAATTCCCTTGTTGCTAGCAAATTGTTTCTGAACCATTCTCCATTTCTGCTAATGAACTCTGTTTTTGAATGACCAGCTGGAAAAACTATTTTGCTTCTGGTTTTTATTCATTATTTGTTTTCTTTTTGGTCTTGTTGCATAATTACATACCTCAGTCAGATGCAATGCCCTGTGACTGGTTGGCTAAAATGTTGAAAAACAAGTCAGTTTTGAACAGCAGGCATCAGGTACAAATTTGGAAACCAAAACATATCAGTACTAAAATTTGTGAACGTTTTCACAAAGACAGTTAGTTTGATACTCAAGAGCAAAGTGTTATTCAGTACTCAGGAGCAGAGTGTTATTCACAGAAATTGTGATGAACCAGAGAATGGCCTTCTAATCATTCTAATTAAATTGCATTTTATTTCTTTATATTGATTCATTGCCCCATGTTGCTATTTAAGTAGTAGGAAGTATTACTGGATTTGTTATATTGGTAGAAAGAAGTAGGTGAAGCAAAACAGAAAAAAAAAAAATAATTGTTTCCTTAATTGCTTTGTCTCATAACTGTGGTACATCTCATACAGTTGGGATATTACTTTTTTTTTTTTTCCCCCTAGAATTACATAAAAAACAGAACTTTTCATCTTGAACCACTTCTTTTCAACTCCATATTTAGGAGATTTAGAGAAATGGAAACCAGATTTGAACCACCCATCATTTTTCAAAACCAGAATGTGATGAATAAGGAACTTTCCCAAATTTTATACAGCTGTTTTTATCAGGAATTGTAGTTTTCCTAAACAATTCACAAATCTGTGGATGGCTATTGAGAGTCCTATTTTTCCAGTAAAGATCTTCAGTAATTAAGGTCATCAGAAGAAAAGGGGTGTCTTCCTGAGGTTAGTGGTATGACAGCAAGGTCTGTAATCATAAGCAGGAATTTTTTCATTATTAAAGACCCAGATATCATCTCAGTTTTGATTAAAATTAATAAACCTTAGTGTAAACTCAACTATCTATGCACTCACTACACTATGGTCTACAAAACAGGTAAACGCTCCATTTTATAGTCACATAGTTTCTCCCCTTTTAATGTGAGTTGCAGTTGAGGTCATCCAGGTCTTACAGAGCCTGTGCACACTTTTAAACTTGGACCTCAGATACAAACGCACAATTCTCATTTATTTCCAGAGGAGCATTACAGTGCACACTCAAACAGTGATCCTTAGGCTAAAGCAGAAATGCTTTAATAATTTCTTAATATAACATAAGTGGGGAAAAAAGGTAATTTGGTTTTTTGTACATGTCTTTTTGTAGCCTATCGGCATAGGGTGCTGTCCTACACACATCAGTGATGACCCCAATCAGGACTTTGGATATAAGAAGGACTTTACTTCTTTTACCAAAGTAGTTCCTATTCTTGAAAAGAATAAGAAAAGGAGTAAAATTTTGCTTTGGTCCTTAAAATCAGCAGATCGGATTGCACACATGCCAAGGACATAGATTTCCAAAGGAAGAAAGTTTTTAAGTTCTTATAAATCCTTATAGTGGCATTCACTGGAAATATATGTTTCTTCTCTCACATCACTCATCAAAATGACAGTAATGTGGTTAATATGGAAAATATCTCCCTAATCTGTCCTTTGTATGCGTAGTTAGTACATCAAAATAAATTTGGGATTAATGGCAGCTAGGTGGTTTGGAATCAAATACAATTTTTAATTGAGAGATTGCAAATATAGAGGGAAAGGATTTTTTTTTTTTAATTGAATCAGTAAGGAAGAATTAGAACACATAATTGTATTCTGCAAATGTAAACCAATTTAGCCAGTGAAACCAAGCTGACCAAGAATCTGGACCATAATGCCATTTTCTGCTTCCCAGAAGAACTGGCAATTTGGCATATTGGAGGACTTCTAAGAGTTTCTTAAATGAGAATAAGGGATAAAATTTTCATGCTCAGAAACTTGACACTTAAAGTTATTGCTGGAATTTTTTTGCTTTTCTTTCCTCATCAGTTAGTGCATGAACATATTGTATAAAAAACATACTGCCTGTGTCTCTTAATCCCAAAATCATAACAGTCCAATATTCCACACTCCCAATTAACACATTCATAACAGTTGTTATGAATGAGCTGCTACATGTTAAACTCCTAAAAAAAGGGGGAAAATAGAAATATATATAGTAAATGTATATGTATATACACACATACCCCCCCCATGTTTGGGTGCTTGAAAATAATTCAAAGTAGGTAGCTCTTCATATTTCCTGGAAATGCCAGGAAAGACATGTCAGGCAAGTGAAGAACAATGTCATTTTTATTTTGCACTCTCTGAAATGAAGCTATGTAATAAGATAGGACCGGCATGCCTGAGCTGAAGAAGAAAACACATTAGAAAGCTCTAGTCTTTGTTTAATACATATTAAGAACTTGGCCAAGAACACTTAATCCACCCAAAAAAAAAGGGAAAAAAAGAACCCTTCATTATAGCCAACTTCACTTGCATCTGAATTGTTTAAACTTGTTAGCCTCACTTTCAAGGGTTTTGAAATATTTGAGGAAGAGAATGGGGGTATACATTAGACTGCTCTCTCCAAATCCCTCTTTATAAACTACCTCCTTCTCCTTCTGGATACATTTACCCAATAGATATTGATGTCCAAGGAGACAAGCTGTCAACTCAGGATCTTCATCTCACTTGATCCTTTCTTACACTGCCAGTTTTACATCTCATTATCCCCTCATGGTTGGCTTAGATGTCCTCATACATTTAATATTGCTGAGTCCTCTTGGAAATTTTCACTTCCAGATGAGAGGGCTCTTGAGTCTCTAAAGCACTCCTATCTTTCATTCTGTGGTGTGTAGATTGTGATTTGTTTCAGCTGTAGCAAATGGACATACTCCTGGTAACGCTTTGCACTCAGATATATCCAGCTTCCATCTGAGACACTCAGCATATTCTTCCTGGCATTAATTTAAATAAGTCTTGCAGTGCTTTTGTGAGGCAGGTAGCATTCATACCCATTACAGAGATGAAGAAAGCAAGGCACCAAATGGTTAAGTATTTACTATGAAGCCAAGCATGGACCCCTGACTCCATGTTTTAACCATTTTCCTCACATTTTCCCACCATGCAGCATGACAGGCATGAGGTGCACTGAATTCCACATTACTTAAGTAAGAAACAGAGTGGGCAGAAATTCTCACAAATGTTGGAGGTCCAGGGACTGAAAATAATGCTGAAATGGCTGTTTACAAGCAGGCATCTAGAAAACCTGGAGAGTTACAGCACCAAATCCTTCTGTCTCCTGCAGAATCACAGTAGTGGGGGTTAACTTCATCAGCATGGTTCTAGGTCCTTTTTACCTTCATGGTTAGAGGTATGCTTAGCAGAACCCCTGTATACTTTGAGTGCTTCAAACATAAAGCCCCACTGACTTTTGCCTTTAGGTGGGCTTTCCCCACAGCTCACTGCATATCTTCATCATTTGTTTGGAGTGTGACAGAGAATATTTGGTCTTTGTGGTGGAGGTTGTTTTTCTTATCATACACTTGTGTGCAAACTGGGAATGTGTAAGCCTCACAAATTATCCACAACAACTGGACTGCTAGAACAGTGCACCCTTTCATTTCTCTCTAAGAAAGTGAGCTGAGAAGTTACCCTTGTTATTCATGCACCCAGGAACTGTGGGTTCTAGCAATTCCAAGTTTTGTATTTTTAGTGTTTTCATATATATTTAGAGTTTTCCGCTTAACTCCTTTGATCTGTGGACTCTATCCCCCTATTAAATTTTGCCTTCTTTTCAGTGCTGGCATAGGAAGAACTGGATGTTTTATTGCCACGGCTATTGGTTGTCAGCAGTTGAAGGAAGAGGGAGTTGTAGATGCATTGAGCATTGTCTGGGAGCTACGAGTGGATCGGTGAGTTCCAGAAGAACCATAAATCAGTCAATGATTCTGAAAATCTGTCAATGATTCTGAAATGATTCTGAAATCATCACTGAAATGATTCAGTAATGATTCTGAAAACCTTTTAATAGTTGTATGTTGCTTTACATGAAGTGGCTGCCGTCACTTTTGCTGACTCTTATAACAGCATTAGCCAAATATTCAAAGAAACATTTGTATTTAGATCCTGAGTAAGGAATATTGATTTTTGGGTGAAACTGCATGAGACTCCACTGAATAAAATTCTCCTGAGATGGCAACCCTGTGGTTGCTGGGCACTTGGCACTCCTCTTTTCCCCTCCTGGAGCTTTCTGCTGTCTGTATCCCACTAGGACACAAGAGACACGGGACAATCTGGAGGCAAAGGATTGTCTTTGAGCCTGGATTGAAAGGGACATCCAAGCTCATTCAGTGTATAATTTCTTTATGCAACAGAGAGAGACAAATCTGGTGCTGTTGCTATTCCCTCAGCTGTGCTGGGGGTCCTTTTGAATTGGGTTGGCAAACTTACCCAGCTTAAGAAAATAGCAAAGCATTTGTTGCAGAATTTTCTTAAGTCAGATCAATTCCCTGATTGAATTCACAGCTTGGGAGCAGGAACACTGCAAGCCAGCATTGTTGCAGAGTGCTTTGTTTTATGAAACCATGGCTGAAGAGAGATTTGTGTTGGAAAGGAGGATGTGGGTAATGTGCACAATGGAAGCTTCTGGTTTGGTTGTACTTTTCTTACTCAGCTTGAGGAAACAGGATTTTGTATAAATAAACAGGGTTACACCAAGAATAGAGAAGTCTCATTCCTCTCCTGCTGCAGGTACCAGATCATATAATCCCCCTGCAAGTATATTAACTGCTTCTGACATACATTTCTTCTTTAAAAGGAAACAAACCCATAAGGGTGCAAATGCTGAAAAAGAGCTCAGGTCAAAGGGACAATACAGGATTTTTGTGTTCTGAAGAGTTCTGAGAGGTACTGGAACCACGAATTGTAGAAGTACCAGAATCCATATAGCTGACCATGTTTATGGATCACTTCCTCTGCCCTCCCCTCCCACACACCTTCATCAAACCAGAGATTGTAGTGTGATCCTTACAGGGCAACATGAGCCACTTGGAGTGTAAAATTCTCCAAGGGGAGTTCCTGACCTAAAAATCTCAGCAACAAAAAAAGATGGAAGAGCTGAGGAAAAAATGCTTACTCTGTTTTAAATTATCAGCTCCAAATTTCCAACACTCTGTTCTGATTATCTGTTCATCTTATTGAAAAAGATTTGTAGTGCTCTCCCCCATTTTAGTATTTCTATTACAAGATAACCTTTTTCTTACTGCTTTTACACTTCACTGTAGAGAAGTGGAAGCAAACTCTGGTCTCAGATACCTAGATTTTCATGTCACTATTGCAGCCATAGAAAAAATAATCCAAATTTTCAGGATTATAACTGACAACACAATTTCATCAAGTGTATCTGACTAATGAACTTTCTTATATGTGTTAGTATCCTAGATGAACTTGGAAAGAGAATGAAAATTTGACCCACATATAAACATTCATAACAGCAGTCTTCTCAGTGTCACAAAGCTTGTTATAAAAATTGTTAAGTTTTGTGATTTCTGTATTTTTTTGCATTTCAGATTATATAAATAGACTCCAGAGATCTTGCTTAAGGTGCCTCAGCTCTTCATATTCTCAGGCATTGCCTGAGACAAAAAGTATATCTGTGTTTTAAATTTTAAAGATGTTTTTCTGGGCAAAACTCAATAACCAAAAAGTCTTTTTCTTTCCTTTTTTCAGTTAGCCATATTGCAGAATGTATCTTACTCACCTGGCAGTCAGTTTAAAGCAAGGATTGCTAAGGCAGAGCTTAGCAGTCCCCAAGACTAAAGTAGCCACTGCCAGCCCAACCAGATTGCGGGTTCATAAAGTGGATGAATATCACTGTTGCATGGAAAAAGCTCCATTAGACCAGCTTCCCCTGATGACCCAGTCCTGACATGGTGGTTATTGGCAGGTGGCGTGTGAGATACAGTCACTACATGTGGCATGGAGCTCATAAAATGAACTCAAAGTCTCACTAGACGCA